GACTGGCCATCTGTATGAAAGATTTTCCACATTGATTACATTCATAAGGTTTCTCTCCAGTATGGATTCTCTGATGTACAGCAAGATGAATCCTCTGTGTAAAAGCCTTTCCACAATGATTACATCCATAAGGTTTCTCTCCAGTGTGGATTCTCTGATGTTCAGCAAGACTGTAGCTACCTCTGAAAACCTTTCCACATTGATTACATTCATAAGGTTTCTCTCCAGTGTGGTTTCTCTGATGTACAACAAGACTGGGTCTGCATCTGAAAGTGTTTCCACATTGATTACATTCATAAGGCTTTTCTCTAGTGTGGATTCTCTGATGTATAGCACAAATATCTCTCCAAGTGAAGTCATAGGGACCATTACTCCTGATTCTTTGCTTGTGAGTTTCTTTTACAGAAAAGCTTAGCTCTATAGTAGTCTCTTCTGCTTTCAGTCCAATCTCTCCTTCTGAAAGAAACAAGCAATAAAACATATACGCAGAGACACATCGTTTTATTCCCTTCCCTCTTTTGGCAGAACGCAAACTTATTAACATTCTCTTTCCCCAGGCAAAGAGAAAAGTCTTCCAACTTAAACGGACAGGACCAATTATTTCAAAATGCCATGAACTCCCATCCAAACGATGATTTAATTTACAAAGAACTTCACACACAGTTACAAAGGATCATCACAACACAGGTGGGGCGCTCTTATCACACTGACAACTCAGACCAAGAGCTCAGAATGGCTGAGTGACCTGACCCAGACTCCAGCGGCTGAGACAAGAACTCAGACTTGTGACTTGCTTTGTCCACAGCACTAAACAGACTGCTTCCTTCAATCTTTCCTTTTCACTTTCACTTTCATTGTCTGCAATTTCAATCCTTTCTTCGTAGATATTATGCCATTTGGTGCACATATACTAAATATTCAAATATTTCATGATTTCTCATTTCTGTAAGTTTCATGTAATTTCCATAGTAATAGCTTTCAATGTTACTTTTTTCTGTTGCAGTTTCTAAGGTCACATGAATAATACCAGCACTGCTTTTTTATATTTGCCTAAAGCATAAAAGATTTTGTACTGGCCTATTAATATTTTTTTTTTGTGCGAGGCAAGTGAGGTCAAGTGACTAGTCCAGGGTCACACAGCTAGTAAGTGTCAAGTGTCTGAGGCCAGATTTGAACTCAGATCCTCCTGATTCCAGGGCTAGGGTTCTATCCATAGGCTTGGACATTGCCGATCACCCCTTTTACTTCACATTCTCCTTTCTAGGTTTTAGTGACACTACTCTCTCCTGATTGTCTTTCTACCATATCCAAAGTGAAACTCATTTTCTTTGCCCCAACCCTTCCATCTGCCTACTTTCCTAATGCTATCCAAGGCATCCCCCCAATAGTCCTGGCTCAGAGATGAAGTGTCATGCACTCCTCATCGACTCTCACACATTCACCCTTCTGCCCTCCATATTTAATCTGGTGCAAAGTCCCATGATTCCACTCGTGTGAATCTCTCCCATACATCCTCTTCTCTCCCAACACTGTCACTGTCTTGATTCAGGCCCCAAACACCTAAGTATTGAAGAGCCTGCTGGCTGGTCTGGCTGCCTCATCTCCCCCCAGTCCACTCAATCCTCAACCCAGTTGTCAAGTTCATCTTCCTAAAGCTCTCACCTGAACACATCAACACCTACTTAACAACCTCTAATGGCTCTGTAGCAAAAGGGTCAAATACAAAATCCCCCCTAGAGCTGCTCAATCCCTTCATCACCTCCCACCTCCTACTCTTCCAGTCTTCTTTTACCCTACTACCCCCCCACATATATGCTATAATCCAGTGGTATGGGCCTCCTTTCTGGTTTGTGGACATCATATTCCACCTCCTGACTCCATGAGTTTTTCTCACTATCCCTTTCGCCTAGAATGCTCACCCTGGCTTTGCTGAAGCCCCAGCAAGAGCCCACCTTCCACAATAAGCCTTTCCCAGTTCTCCTTCACTTCAAGGCCTTCTCTCTCTTGACCAGCTCCAATTTATTCTGTCCATAGTGGGTTTCTACAGAGTTGTTGGAGTGTTGTCTGCCCCACCAGATTGTGAGCTCCATGAGAGCTGGGGAGGACCCTTGCATCTCATTATGTTCCCAGCACATAGCACAGGGAATAGCATGGAACAGGGTACTTAAATGTTTCTTGACATGAAGGTCTAATAAAGAGCTCATATTAGAAACCTAGCTCCTATTACCACTTTCAGGAGAATTCCATGCCCCCCAAATTCCAAATAAAAGACTTCTTATAAGATCATAAATTTATCCCTAGCAGAGAGCTAAAAGGTCATGGAGACTAATCCCCTCATTTTGCAGATGTGGAAACTAAGGCTCCATGGTTCAGTGACTGGTCCAGGAAGTCAATGATAAAGAACATCTGAAAAAGGATTCCAAGGCAGGTTTTCTAGCCCCCAAATTTAGCCCTTGCTTCACCACAACACAGAGCAGCCTCTTGTAATCACAGCTCTCATAGACCTGCTTTCACCTCACTCACCTGGACAGCGGCTCCTCAGGCCTTCTTGCTCCAGTATCCATGGTGCTTCCCTTTGCTCAAAATAAGAGATCACATCTTCTCTGGGAACTGGAAGTCCTGGAAGTGGGGAATCAGGTAGGGATGAGCATGGAGAGAAACTTGTAATTTAATTCTCTATAGGGAAAGGAGTGTGGACACAGAGCTGCTCCATTTTGAGGATCACTCCATTCTGGTCACACATAGGAGTCTCTACTGACCCATTACTGCTTGTAATGCAAATAATCCAAAATAGGATGTGTTGTACAACCTGTTCTGAGAAACAGCCAAACCCTCGGCCCCCCATCCTGTTATGCTCCATTCTGGCAGAAACTCTGCACCCCAAAACTGGGTAAGAGGGTAATTGTGCCAGATCAAACTTAAGCCCCAGCTCCAGGGACCTTGATGAATCACCCTTTGCCCTCTCCCCCTACCTGGCTCCTCTCTCCCTGAACCCTACATAAACCTTGTGTACTGTTCATTCAGGGAGTGTTTCTCTCTTTGGGGGAGAGGCTCCTGTTGCCAAACTCAACAAACCTTACTTGGTCCAAACTTTCTCAGCCAGTCCCTTCTCCCTACCATCCACAGGGGCATGCAAGCAAGGACACCAGGGTGGTTCCCACGATTTCTGAAGGATAGTTTCCGTGGCATTAGTTTTTGGAATTTCTGGGGAGAGGTAGGGGTGAAGATCTTGGAACCAGTCTGGTGCCAGAGAATTTGGTCTTGGTGCACCTTCTTCATAGAAGGATGGACTCAATGCATAGTTTCCATTGTCTAGAAATCAGAGACAGCTGATGGTGCAGTGGAGAGAGCCCTGGGCCTGCAGTCAGGATTGCCTGAGGTTAAATCTGGCCTCGGATAGTTAGTACCTGTGTGCCCCTGGACTAGTCACTTACTCTCTGTTTGCCTCAGTTTCCCAACTGTAAAACGGGGAGAATAATATCACCTCACCTGGAAGGTTATGATGAGGATGAAGTGACATAATATTGTAAAGAAAGCCCTTGGAAGAGCCCATGGCAAACAGCAGGTGAATATGGATGCTCATTCCCTTCCCTTCCTTTCCCACCATCTGTGCTGGAAGTTTGGGGTAACAGGAAGGAAGATGAAGGACAAACCTGCTACACCAGACACATTGAAGAGCTGTGAGCTACCACCATCTGCCTTGTTCAAAAGAAGAAGATTCCAAATCCTTGGCCCGTCCCGAAGAGGAAGGGGCCGCAGGGAAAAGCCACCTGAGCAACTCAGAGATTTGGCAGCAGAATTCATGCCCAGGTAGAGGTGAGACTTTTAACCTCTGAGGTCAGATCCACATCTGAGATGCTTCCACACTGACTGGATCTCTGACCTGACGCTACCAGGCATTGGGAAGAGATGGCATCGGGAGCAACAAAGGAAACCCTCAGGTCCCTATCACAGAATGCAAAGACTTCCTAGAGGAAAACCAGGGAGCAGGAGGGGTCTGTCTCTTGAACACAGCAGACCAGCACTTTTCTCTCTCTAATAATCGATAGATGCTCCAAACCCTGCACACTAGGGAATGAAGATGTTCCCTCCAATTGCAGACTCAGAGTGGCCAGGGGAAGCGTCCTTACCCAGAGAGAGCAGGTTCTGGGCATTCTCCAGCATGACCTCCTTGTACAACTCCTTCTGAGGAGGGTCCAAGAGGCCCCACTCCTCCTGGGTGAAGTCCACAGCCACATCCTTGAATGTCATTGTCTCCTAAATCACCAAAAGTCACAGGACAGGGAGCTGAAAGACACTTCAGAGTTCAATAGTCCAATCCCCATCAATGTACAGGAGGAAACTTGAAGCCCTGAGAAGGGATCTGCCCAAAGGTCATACCCTTTATGGGTGTCACAGTCAACTCTTGAAGCCACAGTAAGAACCCGATGGAATTTGGAGAAAAGCATTTTATATCATCATTTGGAATAAAGCTGTGTCTGAGAAATGGAATGTGTCTCCTGAGGGAATCAGGGAGAAAGTTTGTGTTCTATTTGTGAGGTGCATCTGTGGAGGAGAAAGATAGAGGGTGATGTGAAATTTCTTCCTTATCAGAACTGATCTAACTGACATATTCTAAAGAAAAGTATGCGAGAAACAGGCAGGTAACACTGCATTCTAGGGAAATAAAAACATTTTATATGATCATTGAAGAGAGAATAAAGTTAAAGAAAAGATCTAGTTAGCTTCCTGAATGGCTGAAATAAACTCTTATCAAGATGAAATCATGAAGAGGATGCTAGAAAGATATTCATCAGAATCTAGACTGCACTGAATGGTATGAGCTGGTTTCCAGCAAGTGAAGGAGCCCTATCTGTTACTTACATTGAGGGCTTGAGGTCACTCTGGGTATGTGTCATACCCAAAACAGCTTATGCTTTGGCTTTAGGATTGCTTTGATCTGTCAACAGCATATAGTCCTTAATTACATAATTAATTACTTAGTAATAAGAGCAACTATACTGGAGAAGGGCAAGCTAGGTGGTGTAGTGGATAGAGCACTGGACTTGGAATCAGGAAGACTTATCTTCATGAGTTTAAATATGGCCTCAGAAACTTACTAGTTGTGTGACCCTGGGCAAGTCACTTAACCTTGTTTGCCTCAGTTTCCTCATCTGTCAAATGAACTGCAAACTACTCCAGTATCTTTGCCACGGAAAGCCCTAATGGGTTTACTATAAGCGTTGAACGTGACTGAAATGACTGAAAAACAATGATGGGGAAAGGAAGGTTTCTTTATTGCTTAAAAAAAAAGCAATGTTTATTTAACTTGGGTTTCGCTTCCATTAATTCATCAGTGAAATGTAGTCAACTTCCTTATGAAAAATAAATGATTTAAACACACCAATAGAACTGTTGCTGCTTGCAGCTATTTGTCCTTCATTCGAGAAGAGGACCATGACATCAGGAAGGTGATGTCATGCCATGACTTGCAAATGAATCGGATTTAAATCAGGGAGGGCTGTGCAAAGTCACCAGCCTCACTTTGACCTCCAGAGTCATCTGGGTCCAGTGGCCAGATATAGATCAGAACAACTGAAGATGGCCAGGATGCAGTGCAGAAACTTGGGAGAACAAGAGTCAAAAGAATGACTAAGGGAGCTGACTGCTGGGCCATATATGGGAGAGGCTGGCCAGATCTGAGATACCCTGATATTTGGGAGGGGTCATCTATATTTCCAGGCTGTTACATTCCAATGAGCTATTTCATTTTCTTCCACCTCAGTCATAAGCATAGGATTCACTTTATCAGAGATTCTGATGTTTGGGAACAATCTTCCATCCTGCATAAAATTGCTGATTCATTTTTCATCATTATGATTTCTTCCTTAAAACATCTGATTTAGGGTCTATTTGTAATCCATATTTCACCTTTCACTTTCTTTATTCTATTATTTTACTTCAGAACAATTGAAGAATTTATTCCTCTTTTATACTTCTTGAGACTCCCAAGAATTTCTAAATCTTTTCTTTTATCTTGGGTCCCTTGAGTTACTCATTTTCGTTTTTGAGTTAGCTATGACTGAAGCCAATGGAGAACAACTTCTTAAAACATTCTACAAGCCTATAATCTGTACCCTGGTTTAACTTGTCTTCTACACCCCACTGCTATGCCCACCCCACCCAAATGTCATCACTGCTACCAATGTAACCAGTTTTTTTCAGGAAAAAATTCATTTCCACCCCACTGAGCTTTATAGAACAAGCTGTCCCAAATCCCAAATGTCTCCAGGGAAGGGGTTATCTGGCTCCCAAGGGACAAATCAAAAGGCTTTCCTTAACACCTCGATCTTTCCCTCTTCAGTAACTTCCTAATGGGTACCACCTTTCTGGTCCCCCAGTCAGTTGCCCTGGGTGTCATCTTCCACTCCCCCTTATCTCACCCCTACTCCTCATATCAAATCTGTAATTGAGCCCTGTCAAGTTCACCCTTTCACCATCTCTGGAATATATCCCCACCCTGGGACAGACCCTCATCGCCTCACACCTGGACAATGGCAATAGCTGCTGGGGGGAGTCTGCCTGCCTCAACTTTTTCCCCACTCCAGTCCATCCCCCAGTCAGCTGTCTAACTGATTTATGTGTGTGTGTGTGTGTGTGTGTGTGTGTGTGTGTGTGTGTGTGTGT